GAAATAAGGGAAAAGAAATAATGTGAAAAAATGGAAACAAAGTCTTTGTAAATAGGGAAGGATGAAATGGGTGAAGGAAGGACAGGGGTATGGGGAAAAACAAGAACCAAGATATATCATGTAAAGGCACAAGATCCCAATGATGAATGTAATGATATTGTTTGCTTTAAACATATCAATAAACTTAATGGAAAAGAATTTTAAATGTTAATATAGCACGAAGCTATAATGCTATATATTGTATTAGCAAAGAATAATCAGTGACATTAAATTCAGTAATAAGAAACAAAAGAAAAAGAGCAAATTAAACTGCATATAAGCAAAAAAAAAGAATAGAAAAGAACTATGATCAGAATTTAAAATCAATTAAAAGGAAAATAAAAAACAGAGAATGTTAATGCAACAAAGCAATAAAAGATTGATTAAATTGATAAACCTCTAGCCAGATCAACCAGAAAAAAGAGCAAACACAAATCGCCAATATCAGCAATGACAGAGGCAACATTACTACAGAATCTCCAGGTATGAAAAGTATAATATGAAAGACTGGAGGAGCACTTGAGTGGTCACCTTTGCTTAGTTTGCTCAAGGCCCGGATTCAATCCCCAACATTGAAACAGACAAACAAATAAACAAACAACTTTATGCCTTTACTTGGACAAGTCTGATTTAGTGGAAAATTTCCTTGAAAGATATAGTGTCAAAATTCATTCAAAAAATATTGGTAATCTAAAAATTGCTATAATAAAGAAATTGAATGTGTATTCAAAACATACTCAGTGAAAACTGCTGGAGAATTTGGCTTCCCAGGAGGAATCCACCAAACTTAAAAAGAAAATAAAGTTAATGCTATGGGAAATCTCCCAGAAAACTGAAAAGAAGGTAGAATTTTTCACCTTTTTGCACAAGGCCAGCGATATTCTAATACAAAAACCAGACAAAGATATTAAAGGAAGATTACAGATTAAATATTGCCATGGGGGCTGGGGATTTATCTCAGTCACCTGCCTCACAAACACAAGGTCTTGATTTCAATCCCCAGTATCAGGAAAAAAAAAAACTTCCATGAATGTAAATGCCAAAAATTTTTTACAATGCAATTAAATAATATGTAAAAAAATAATAATACATCATGCCCAAGTGGTATTCATTCCAGGAATGGAATTCCTGGATTGGTTAACATTTGAAAATCAATTGATGTGTTTTCCTGTATTCACAGGAAACACACAAACACCCCTCAGTAAACAGATAAGGATATCACAAAATTTAACATTAGCAAAATAAGAATAAATATGATCCTATTCAAACTAATTAAAGGTGCTTATGAAAAACCAATAACTAATATCTCCTTTAATAAAAGAATAAGCCAGCGATTTAGCTCAGTGGTGCCACACCTACCTTGCAAGTACAAGGATCCAAATTCAATCCCTGGTGCCAACAATAACAGCAACAGCAATAATAATAATAACAATAATAGAATAAATATTTTCTCCTAAGATCAGAAACAAGGCAAGGATGTCCATTCTCCCTATTTCTGTCAACATTGTGTGGAAGATTCTAGCCAGTGTGAAAAGTCAAGAAATATAAATGAAAATTTTCGGGACTGAAAAGGAAGATGGAGACATGTCTCTTTGACCTGATCATCTGTGTACAAAATCCTATGGGAGCTACACGTGATTGCAACTAAATGAATTCTGTCAGTTAGCAGGATATAAAGTCAGTGTGAAATATCAATTGACTTTCTATATCCTAGCAACTTATAGGTGGAAATTGAAGTAAAAAAAATTTTAAAAGGCATCCAAAATATGAAACGAATTTGGACAAGATTGATACACTGAAAACTATGAAACATTGCTGAGAGAAATTAAACAAGACATAAATGAGAGATATCCTATGCCATATTTATTTATTGGAAGACTTGGTGTTGTTAAAATGTCAGTATTGCTCAAATCAATTTAGTGAGTCAGTGAAATCTCTATCAAAATCTGTCAGTCTTTTTGCAGAAATTGATAAGCTGATTCTAAAATTCATACAAAAATGAAGGTGTAGGGAAAGTGGGAAGGGTGGGGGAAAGGTAATAAGGGAGAGGAAAAAATATGAGAAACTGAAAAAATGGAAATAAAGTGTTTGTAAATGGGGAGGGGAGGAGAGGGTGAAGGGAGGACAGGGACAAGGGGAAAAAATGAGAATCAAGACCTATGATGTAAAGGTACAGAATCCCAAAGATGAATGTAACTGTATTGTATACCTAGATTGTACCAATAAACTCAATAAAAAGAAAAGAAAATCACAAATTAAAAAAAATGAAGAGACCTAGGAGATCCAACCCTACTTTGAAAAGAACAATGTTGATAAACTTGTAATATTTAATTTCAAAGCTTTTTATAAATCAATAATAATGAAGACAATATGGAATAGTCACCCAGATAAACTAATAAATGAATTGAACAGTACAGTAATTCCAGAAATACATGGTCAATTTGTCTTTTGACAAAGATACAAGGATAACTCAGTGGAGAAATAATAGTCTTTCAACAAATGATGCTGGAACAATTCGATACTCATGTCTAAATATAATCATATCCAAAACTTTGATGCATATGTCACATCATATGAAAATTTAACTCAAGATGGATCATAGACCTAAATGTAAAACTAAAAATAAATGTAAAAATCTAAAACTATATAACTTATAGGAGAAAACTTTCCTGGCTGTGGATTTGGCAAAGTTTTCTATATTGAAAAATTTTAATGCCTTCTGGGCAAAGATTTGTTTTAGATACAAAACTAAAAACATAACCCATAAAAGAAAATTATAAATTGGGCCTCTTCAAAATGAATAATTTCTGATCTTAAAAAAGACCACAGACTAGCAGCAAATATTTGCCAATTACATATCTAATAAAATGAGTTATATCAAGAATATAATTTAAAAAAATATATTCTGGCTGGAGATGTAGCACAGTTATAGAGTGCTCGCCTAATGTATGAGGTTGTGGTTTGGTCCCTAGCATTGCAAAAACAAAATAATAATAATATTTTAAAAACAGCAATAAAACTCTCAAAAGCCAATTTTAAAGGGTACATTATATTATTTTCACAGGATGAATGCATTCTGGAGATTTATGGTATAGCATTCTGACTATATAATGCATTATATAGAAATAAATGTCAACATGTAATTATATTTTATGACATGTGCTCTCTTTTCTGAACCATTGTAGATATTCATTACTTTGATTGCAAAGATCAATGAAAAATAAATAATGTCAAAATATTCATATTTAAAGAATGCATTAACAGGGCATGGTGTTGTATACCTGTAGTCCCAGCTACTTGGAAGGCTGAGGCAGGAAAATCACTAGGCAACCTAGCAAGAACCCATCTTAAAGGACAAGGTGTTGTATATTTGGAAATTTCTAGGAGAGTAGATTTTAAATGCTATTACCATAGAAAAATAAGTATGTGAAGTGATGGTGATGATCATTAAATCATCCCATGGTATATACCTATATGAAAATATCACTTACAATTTTTCCAATTAAAAAAACATCAATCATGACAATAAAATAGCCGTATTAAAAAAGACGTGTTAGGCAAAATAATGTAAACAGATATACTACCAAAGAATGTCATAGAAGCACTGAAAGGTGCTCAACATTAGTCAATAGGAAAATACACAGAAAACCAGAGATGGGCGTGGTGTTGTGTGCCTGTAATTCCAACACAGTAAAACATATTTCTAAGACAGTAGTTCTTAATGTTCTTTCTGCAAAAAGATGATAAGTATGTGAGTTGATGGAAAGGTTAGTTGAAGATTGTAGCATTCATTTCACTATATATCTGTATATCAAAATATCACATATACCGAAATATTTGCAGTTTTGTCAAGTACACTCCCCCAAAAGCTCTAAAAAAACCCCAAAGAAACAAAATCTAAACATATAAAGACAGAAAATGGAAAAGAAGAAAATAAAATTTGAGAGCTTTAGGTTAAGAATATAGCTCAGTGGTAAAGTGCTTGCCTAGCATGGCCAATACCCTTGATTCCATCCCTAGCAACACACACACACACACACACACACACACACACACACACACACATACACACAGAAAAATGCACACAAATATACAAAGAAAGGGAGGAAGGAAGGGTAGAAGGGAGAATTAGAAAGGGAAAAAGTTTGAGAACTTTAAAGCAGATGAAGGAAGTGACTTGTAGCTGGAGGTTGAAAAAGAGCAACAGCCTGTTCTCTACTGTAGGACCTGAAAAGACTATAAATTGCAAGCACCAGCTCCCAGAACATAGACAACAGGGAATCTGACCATCCAGTGAGAAAAGTGGCCCAAACTAATAATATACCACCAGAGAAAATCAAGCAACAACAGGCCACACCAGTTGCACAGAGCTTACCATAAACAGTGCTTCTTCCCATTTGTGAGCAGATTGTCAAGAATTGCCAGTCATTTGGTGAAAAAGTTCACATGCAATAGTAGGAGGACAGAAAGTGAAAAGAAAGAAATCAAAGAACTAATTCAAGAAAACTCTTAATAGAATATAGGTTTCTAGATTGAAAAGACCCATCAAGTACCCAGCACAATGGATGACAATAGACTCAACGGGGCATGTACTTTTGAAAGTTTTACTGCACTGATTATAAAGAAAAGATCCTATAAGCATCCATAAAGAAAGAGTTCATGTACAAACAATCAGTTTATTGATTACACTACACTGATTTCTAAAGCTTAATAACCACATGTGGCTTGTGACCACCATATTTGACTGCACAGGTGTAGAGGTTCCCAGCTCTACTTTAAACACGTCCACACCTGCTTTAAAGTAGACTTACGTCATGAAATTGTATTTCCTACATACTTTCATGCTGGCTGGTTTTGCCTGATTACATTTCGTTTTTATTTTGTGGTAAGATAAATATGTATTTACTTTTTAAAGTGTGCATGTATCAATGCCATTGTTTTTATTTTGTTTTACAGTTGTTTTTTCAGTAATGATATTGGAGACTATTACAAATCAAGATCTGCCTGTGATCAAGTGTGTGTTAATCAATCATAAGAACAATGATTCTGCAGTGGGGAAATCACCATTTCCCAAGGTAAAGTAATATTAAATTTATAGATGTAGCTATTGTGTTTTCTAGAGACCATATTTTATAAACTGTTGAAATCTACCTTTGCTAAATGGGCTTTTTTATGCATTAAGAATAATAAACACTCACATCTGATGTAACTGTACCATCTATATTCCTAGCTACCTTGCACTCCATTTCGTCAAAAACTGTGTTTTGGGGCTAGGGGTGTAGCTCAGTGGTAGAGCATGTTATTGGTATGGATGAGGCCTGAAGTTCAATCCCCAAAACAGAGGGCTGTAAGTGAGGTTGGAGAGGTATGTGCACACACGTGTGTGTGTGTGTGTGTGTGTGTGTGTGTGATCCATGTTCTCCTTTGGGTGTGGATTCAGAGAGGACATTGATGTAGTAGTGACATAAAGTAGAAGGACATGAAGAAGTAGAGGCTATTTCCCTTTCCTTGCAGAGAATCCAGGATTCTTTCCCAAGCTTGAATCCCTAATTTCTAACCATCTCAAAGTTATGAATAGATTTTTCCATTGGAGAGCTTATTTATATTTATATTATTTGTACTTTATAAACTTGCTCTTGTTCTTGTTGTTGATTTCTTTTTATACCTCTGTCTAGTTCACAGGCCTGACTGAAAGCTGGACTTCATTTTGGATTACTTGCTCTTTTCTTGCCTTCACATTCTATTAGTTACCATGTCTTGTCATTTCTCTTTAACAGTTCTAATATTATCACCTCAGTTCTGTACTCTCACTGCCACTTCCATAATGTACAACCTCATTACCTTCCTTGGTGTTACATATCTTAATCAACCTCTTCCTGCCATAGTTCATCTCAGATATGGCTGCCAGTTCAGCCTTTGTGAGGCCCAGCTATGTTCTTGACTGCTCAACTCAGAACCTTCCATGACTTGTCGCTACTTAGACTGATATTCATAGTATTTCCTGATCTGGATCTAGCTCTTTCAAATTGCAACCCATTTTGTCATTCTTCTCTTTTATACTACTCATCTAACATAGCTATTCTCACCTCTCTCCTTTTTGAAATATATGTTTTCTAGCCCAGAGTGATGGTGCACACCTGTAATCCCAGCATTTGAGAGGCTGAGGTACGGGGATTGCTGAAAGTTTGAGGTCAGCCTGGGCTAAGTAGTGAATTTAAGGGCAGTTTGAACTACACACTGAGACTCTGTCTAAAAAAAAAAATGTACTCCAATAAAAAAGGTTGTGATTAGGATTGAAAATATTACAAATCTCTATACAATAAAAATTGAAATAAATGAGCTAATTTTGTGAACATTTCCAGTCAGAAATTCAGATTCTTGTTTTCTTTTACATAAGTCTAGCACACATGATATCGTGGCCTGCCCCTCCAAAATCAGAGATACTAAAAAATATTGTCAAGTTTTAAAACAGTGTGAAATAGTTTTCAACAATATATTATATGAATGTAAAACTTTCAGTTAAATACATCGTTTATTAAATGTGAGAAATGTTGATTTAATTTTAAATAGATATAGGTATCATAACATAACAGCTCATTAATAATGAAGGCATTTCAGTATGGCTACAAAAATTTTAGAATTATTTGCTAAAATATTTAAAAATTTTAGTGTTTATTCAATATAGGAAAATACCTGTATGTACTTTTTAAAAAATAGACACAATCTTCAAAAAATTAATGATGATTGGTCTTGGTTCCTTGCAATAAATCTTGTATTTTAATATACTGTAAATTAAATTCTTATGCAATCTTCACGATGGTATGAAGACCCATTCGTTCTTAAACCACATTAAACAATCATATAAATCTGAACTGCTGCAACGAAGAACAATCTTCTCAGTTTACTTTCATATCATTGAAGTTGAATCTGTTCCTTTGGAATATTTTCCCACTTCAATTTCAAATAAATTGTTAGAATATCAGTAGCTTTAAAAATCATTTTGACTGCTTCACAGCTTGTAGCTCTCAGATGACACCTTTCTGGGAATCTTATGTTCAACAGTGTTTTCAATAACTATGCACTCTTTAGTAGACAAAATTTGTCAGTGCCACTGTCTCAGTTACTTTCTTATTGCTAGGACAAAATACCCGACACACACAATATAAAAGTGGAGAGGTTTATTTTGTCTCGTGGTTTTAGAGGTTTCATTCCATGGTTGGCATAGTCCAAGGAAGAATCAGCAAGGTGGATTGGCCTGGGAAGAATACAGTTGCTAATCCCATGGAATCTAGGAAGCAAAAAGAAAAGGTAGGCAACAGGGAGGGAGATATACCCTTCCAGGAAACACCCCCAATGAACCGCCTTTTCTGACCAGGCCCTACTTCCCAACAGCACATTCAGCTATGGATACATTAGTAGATTACTCCACAGATGAGTATAATACCCCAAATCCAATTGCCTTCTACACACATGAGAATTTGGGGGAACATTTTATGTCTAAACCAAAACATCGTGCCCAGGCCCAAACTCATGCCCATTTCATTAGGCAAAATGTATTTATCCTATCTTTAAGAGCTTCCAAAGTCTTAACTGTTCTAGCATTGCTGGAAAATCCCTCCCCATCACAAGACTTAAGGCAAACTGTTAGATGTGAGACCCTGTAAAAATTAAAGAGAAAGTTAAACTTGCCAACATACAATGGCACAGGATAAACATTTCTTTTTTTTTTTTTAATTGAGTTTATTGGTACATTTAGGGATACAGTACAGTTACATTCATTGTTGGGATCATGTACCTTTACATGGCAAGTCTTGATTCTCATTTTTTTCCCCTTACCTCTGCCCTCCCTTCACCCCCTCCTCCCCTCCCCATCTACAAACGCTTTATTTTCATCTTTTCATTCTCTCACATTTTTTTCTTTTCCCTTTTTGTTCTTCCCCTACGTATCACACCTTCCCTACACCTTTAGCTCCTTTCCTCCCATTTCTAAATGTCAGTAATCTTATTAGAATCTTATGCATTGTTGCAGAATATTCACACCAGGGAAACTATTTGGTATTTACACATGTGGGACTTATTTATTTCACTTAGGAGTATATCTTCAATATGTATCCATTTTCCTATGAATGAATCTATTCTCTTGCTCTTTATGGCTGAGTAATATTCCATTTTATAGAAAAACCACATCTTCTTTATCCAGTTTCCAACGGATGGGCAAATAGGTTGTTTCCAAGATTTAGCTATTACAAACTGTGCCGCTATAAACATGGGTGCACATACTTCTCTGTGATATGATTCTTTTAGTTCTCTTGGAAAGATACCCAACAGAGGGATGGCTGGGTCAAATGGAACCTCCAGTCCAAGCTCTTTGAGGTATCTCCATATTGATTTCCATAGTGGTTGCACTAGTCTGCACTCCCACCAACAATGGAGGAGGGTTCCTTTCTCCCCACAACCCCGCCAACATTTGTTATTGTGTGATTTCTTGATAGCAGCCATTCTTTGTGGGGTGAGGTGGAATCTCAGTGTTGTTTTCATCTGCATCTCTCGAATGACCAGTGATGTGGAACATTTTTTCATATATTTTCTTGCTGCTTTCACTTCTTTGTATGAGAAATGTCTGTTCATTTCGGATGCCCATTTTTGGATCGGGTCTTTATATTTGGGGGGACTGATTGTTTTGAGTTCTTTATATATCCTTGATAATAGTCCTTTGTCTGAGGTACAGCTGGTAAAAATTTTTTCCCACATTGTAGATTGTCTCTTAGTTCTGCTAATGGTTTCTTTTGAAGTACAGAAGCTTTTTAGTAAGATGAGATCCCAGTTGTTGATTCTTTCTGCTAGTTCCCGTGCTACTGAGGATTTGTTCATAAAGTCTTTTCCTATACCAATGTCTTCCAGAGTTCTGCCTAACTTACTTTCCAGCAAGTTTAATGTTTCTGTTTTAATATTTAGATCTTTAATCCATTTGGATTTTAATTTAGTGCATGGCGAAAGATAAGGGTCTAATTTTAATCTGTGACAGGTTGATATCCAGTTTTTCCAACACCATTTATTAAAGAGGCTATCTTTCCTCCACTGAGGATGGTGAGCTCCTTTGTCGAAGATGAGGTAGCTGAGTACATCTGCATTTGTTTTTGTGTCTTCCAGTCTGTTCCATTGATCCTCAGGCCTATTTCTTTGCCAGTACCATGCTGTTTTTATCACAGTGGCTTTGTAGTATAGTTTCAAATTGGGGATTGTTACACCTGGTGCCATGTGACTGTTGCCTATAATGGCTTTTGCTATTCTAGGTCTTTTGTGGTTCCAAATGAATTTTTGAATTCTTTTTTTCTATTCTGTGAAATA